GGTGGGCGGCTAGAAAATTTTACTACTAACAGAGATACAAAAGTGGGTGGTAGGTATAAAAAGGTTGACTACCCCTGGTATAGACAGAGCTGATCACAATATAACAACAAATATAATTTAAGCTTTATATAATTTAATTGCTGCAATGTAATTGTTGCCTTGATGGCAGACATGTTTAAGGATTATGTTGGAGGCCACGAGTCCTTTCTACAGAGCTGCTCAATTGATTAATTTGGCAATTGGAAATTTGAACATGCATGGCTTAAGTTCTTAACTTAATAACTAGCCTTGTATTAATTTTCCATCTAAAAGGGGACTTAAAATGCTTTCTAGAGAAAACTAAAAGCTTATTTTTGAATAGTTAGTTTCAAGAGCAGTAGTTGGTAATGCAACGTAAGTGTCTACAAAAAAAAAGAACAAAATAGGGTGATAGGCTAGATTTAGATGGTAAAGCTTAGCAACAATGACATAATAATAACAACAATATCAATGCCATTAATATGGAACAACAAGGAGGCCAGAATCAGTGTTCCTGATTTGCCTTATTTTGTTGGCTAGCTTTACCTTATTGCTCCGGAGGCAAATTCACTGTTTTGATTTATTGGGCTTTTCACTTTCGGTTGTATCTTTCCACAGCCCAAATAATGCCTTGGTTTAAAGCCTTAAACAGGATAGGGATTATGTACTTATATTATGGTGCAACTGTTGGTCCTCACTTAGTCCTTACATATTTTTATAACATCTTACTACAATTTGCTAATAAATTAAAGTGACCAGATTTTAAGATGGGTAAAGTGGGACACCGTTGACTGGGTGGGGGCGGGGGGGGGGGCTCACAGCACCTGAGCTGTAAAAAAAAAAGAGGGCTGTAAAACCATGAAGAGTTACCCCTGCTGCCACTGCCGCCTCCTCTGCCGTGCTTTTGAGGAGCTTCTGATGACCGAGCCTCCTCCTCGCCGTGCTGCCGCCGCGCAGGATGAAAGGGAGCCTTGCCCCTCATCAGGCGCTGCAAGCAAGCCGAGCGGAGGGAGGGAAACCACTGCCCTCTAAAGGCCACATCGGGAACAACACTTCAGAGAAATAAAAACTTTTTTTTTAACGGCATCCTTTTTAAAATAGATGATTCAGCGTCTTTTCTTTCTTTTGGAAAATCGGGACTTTTGAACACGCCGTGGGACACGGGACAAATTTTGAAAAATCGTGACTGTCCCGCCAAAAGCGGGACGTCTGGTCACTTTATAATAAATGTATTTACTATGAAACTACTACAACATAACAACCAACAGGTAAAAACTATAGCTAAAATATAATGAACTTGTCTAGTTTGATATAAAGTGGGAAAAACATAATAAATGTCCGTCTTTCATTTCTAAGACAGCAAAGATGCTAAGAAAATAGGCTAGAGAGAGTATTATAATGGAAATGACTACCACAAATTCCCCAATCTAATTACTTGCCTAATGTCAGTTTATAAAACGTTTTCAAATTCCTGAAGGAGCCTTTGGTCCTTTATAGATTGTCTGACATTTTTCAATGATTCTATTTAATTTACTTCCTGTTTAGAAAGTGACTTAGCAGAATCTCTAAAAGAAAATATAGGTAATCTTCAAATTACTACTATAATGGAGCC